TCACTCCACATCTCTGCTGCAAAAAGCCGGGTCACAACGAGCGCGGCCCACGAGACCGCCAGGAGACGCCGGCCAGGCCGGCCCCCTCCGAGGGCGGGTGGCGCGCTCCATGACCCGAGGCACGCCCCCGTGCGCGCGGACGCGCGGGGGGCCAGGGGATGCGCGGGCAGACGGAGCGACCAGGAAGTCTGGGCGACGTCCTCCTCCTCCTCCTCCTCCTCCTCCTCCTCCTCCTCCTCCGCGTCCTCATCCTCCTCCGCCTCCTCCGCCTCCCTCCTCTTCCTCCTCCTCCTCCGCCCCTCCTCCTCCTCCTCCTCCTCCTCCGCCTCCCCCTCCTCCGCCTCCTCCTCCTCCGCCTCCCCCTCCTCCGCCTCCTCCTCCTCCTCCTCCGCCTCCTCCTCCTCCCCGGCCATGATACAGCAGGAACCCGGCCACAAGAAGCCCTCCACAAGAAGAACCCCAACCTGACACCCAGGGCGTTTCTCTCAGCACCGTGGGCCCCCACCGTGTCCACGCACGCCCCAGTCGCCACCGCACCCTTGAGAAGCCCCTAAGAGGGCGAGGCAGCTCCTTGGCTGGCCTGCCCGAGGGGAGCTGGGGGAAGGGTGGGGGCGGCAGCAGAAGGACAGCTTCGGAGGACTCGCCCGTTCCTCCGCGCTCGTCCTCTCTGAGAAGTCTGGGGACCTGGGGTGCATATCGGACGCCGCCGCCGCTCCAGAGCGCTCCCGAACGCTCTGGTGCGATTTCTCCCTAAGTAGGTCGGGCATGTCCTCCGACAGGCAGGTTTGTCAGGAATTGTTCCCTGCGTGGGGCTCCCCATACGTGCATCCTCACAGCCAAAAAACGAATCAAAACCGCCTGAGACATCCCCGCAAAATGGCCGCGAACGGGCCCGTGTCCTACCCCCTTTGGCGGCTCTCCTTAGGGATGCTGAAACCAGCGCCCCGCCTGAGACATCTTCAGAATCTGCGCTGAAAACCAAGGATGTTGGGCATGACAACGAGCAGACCGCATGAGACATCCCCATAAACTGGCCGCGAACGGGCCCGTGTCCTACCCCATGGTGGCTCCTTTTAGGGGTGCTGCAACCAGCGCCCCGCCTGAGACATCCTCAAAATCTGCTCCGAAACTTAAAAAATGTTGGACACCGAAACAAGCACACCGCCTGAGACATCCCCACAAACTGGTCGCGAACGGGCCCGTGTCAAACCCCCTGGCGGCTCCTTTTAGGGGTGCCGAAACCAACGCCCCGCCCGAGAAATCCTCAAAACCTTCTCTGAACATTACAAAGGCGGGCAAACCGCCTGAAACTGGCCGCGAACGGGCCCGTGAAAACAACCCTGGCGGCTCCCCCCTTCGGGGTGCTGAAACCAGCGCCCCGCCTGAGACATCCTCAGAGTCTGCTCTCAAAACAAAGGATGTTGGGACAAAAAACCAGCAAACCGCCTGAGACATCCCCACACAATTGCTGCGAACGGGACCGTGAAAACATCCCTGGCGGCCTCCTTAGGGATGCTGAAACCAGCGCCCTGCCTGAGACATCCTCACAATCTGCTCGGGTAGCCAAGGATGTTGGGACAGAAAACAAGCAAACCGCCTGAGACATCCCCGCAAAATGGCCGCGGACGGGCCTGTGTCCGACCCCTTGGCGGCTCCTTTAGGAGGGCTGAAGCCAGCGCCCCGCCTGAGACATCCTCACAATCTGATGTGTGTGTGTGGAATAAACGAGGCAATGAAAAGATCAAAGTACGAGCAGGTCTGAGTATGAGTAAGTCTGGGAACAAGTCTGAGTATTAGTTAGTCTGGGCACGAGTGAGTCTCAGCATGAGTAACTCTGAGTAGGAGTAGGTCTGAGTATGGGTAGGTCTGAGCATGAGTAAGTTTGTGTCTGAATACGTCTGGGTATGAGTAAATCTGAGTGTGAGTAAGTCTGGGTACGAGGAGGAGGAGGAGGAGGAGGAGGAGGAGGAGAAGAGGGAGAAGAAGGAGTAGGAGGCGTCCAAGTAATTACTCGACGCGGGGCTCCCCATATGTGCATCTCATTCTCTTGGTACGTCTTTCTCTTGATATCTGTCAATGAGCGCCTGTGTGCGAGGGCGAACCGCTCGCTCGAGACTTCCCCACAGTCTGCAAGCATGAGTGCGACCAATAGCAAATCTGAGAGCGATCGATTCTGAGTGTGAGTTAATCTGGGTGCGATTGAGCCTGGGTTTGAGTGGGTATGCGTGTGAGTAAATAAGAGCGCGAGTGCGTCTGTGTGCGAGTGGGTCTGAGTATGGACGAACCTGAATGTGAGCCAGTCTGTGATTGAGCGGATCGTAGCATGATGAGTCTGAGCATGAGTGAGTCTGGGCTTGAGTGGGTCTGAGTGTGAGAAAAAGTGTGTGCTAATGAATATGAGTGCGAGTGAGCCGAGTGTGATTGGGTATGGATGTGAGGCAGTCTGAGTGTGAGTCGGTCTGCGTTTGAGCGGACCGAAGGATGATGAGTCTGAGCAGGAGCGAGTCTGAGTATGAGCGGTTCTGAACGTGAGTCTGAGCGTGAGTAAGTTTAAGTATGGATATGAGCGAGTCTAAGTGCGAGTGAGCCTGCGTGTGACTGAGTCTGAGTATGAGCGAGTATGGATGCAGAAGAGTGAAGGAGAGCGGAGAGCGAAGGAGAGTGAGGCGGAAGCGTTTGAGTAAAACCTAAAGCTTTGGAACATCGAACCTCGATCGTCTGGCCCTGGCTACTCGAGTTGCCCACGTCCTCCTCCTCCTCCTCCTCCTCCTCCTCCTCATCATCATCATCATCATCATCATCATCATCCCCTTCCTGCTTCTGCTCCTACCGTGTTCATGCTGTCCTCCTCCTCCTCCTCCTCCTCCTCCTCCTCGTCCTCTTCCTCCTCCTCCTCGCTTCCTCCTTCTCTTCCTCCTCCTCCTCCTCCTCTTCCTCCTCCTCCTCCTTCCTCCTCCTCCTCCTCCTCCTCCTCCTCCTTGGGAGTGCTGAAACCAGCAAATCGCCTGAGACATCCTCCCAAAACTGCTCCGAAAACGACAGATGCCCAGCATCATAACGGCCAAACCGCCTGAGACATCCCCGCAAACTGGGCGCGAACGTCCTCCAAATCTGCTCCGAAAGCGAAACATGTTGGAAGAGAAAATGGCCAAACCGCCTGAGACATCCCCACAAAATTCCGCGAACGAGACCCCGTGATAACGCCCCCGCCGCTCCCCTTAGAGTGCTGAGACGAGCGAATCGCCTGAGACATCCTCCAAATCTGCCCCGAAAACGAAACATGCTGCAGCAGAAAATGGCCAAACCGCCTAAGACATCCCCACAAAATTCCGCGAACGGGACCCCGTGATAACGCCCCCCGCCGCCCCCCTTAGGAGTGCTGAAGCCACAGAATCGCCTGAGACATCCTCAACATCAGTGTGTGTGTGTGAGTCATCTGATGAGTGGACCGAGTCTGAGTGGTGAGTTGTTCTCGGGGCCGTCTAAGTGATGACTGAGTCTGAGTGATGACTGCGTCTTAGTGATGAGTGCGTCTGAGTGATGACTGAGTCTGAGTGAAACTGAGCATGAGGGAGTCTGAGTGGTGAGTGAGTCTGAGTGATGAGTGAGTCTGAGTGATGATGAGTGAGTCTGAGTGATGAGTGAGTCTGAGCGATGAGTGAGTCTGAGTGGTTGATGAGTGAGTCTGAGTGATGAGTGAGTCTGAGTGATGAGTGAGTCTGGATGATGAGTGAGTCTGAGTGATTGAATGAGTCTGCGTGATGAGTGAGTCTGAGTGATGAGGAGGGAGGAGGAGGTGAGGGTGAGTTCCTCCGGCGCGATCCGCCAATAACAAGAACCCCATCCTAGGACATGGGGAATAACAAGATTCCTATCTTAGGATACGGGGAAATACAACAGAAAAACCCACACGACTCAAAGCTAGCCAAACCATAATCAAAACATCATCCCTGGACGATCTCCCCACATGCTTAGTGAGGTGCTGGTGTTCTTCCCTCCCGCGCCCCACCCGCGAAGCTCACACCTCACCCCCCTCTTCTCCTCCTCCTCCTCCCCATTCCTCTCCTCACCCACGCGCAACACATGCACTGCGTGTACACGAGACGCGCGTCTACATACAGCCGCACGCAAGCATATACTCGCAAACACACACACACACCAACAACAACGCTGATGCACGCATGGCGTGTTCACTGCATCATACACCCACGACGTATGCGAAACATACTGGACACCCGCATGAGACACACGCACAAATACAGCCGCACACGCATCATAGACATGGCACGCACATGCGGGCTTGCAAAACGTAGCAGGCGTGGCACACCCTCGGCACTAGAAGGAGTGCGCTGGGGGTGGTCTCCCTATCCGTTTCGGGCTCGCAAAGCCTGGCACGCGTGGCAATTCCTCGACACCACAGGGGGTGCACTGGGGGTCGTTTCCCTACCCGTTTCGGGCTCGCAAAGGGTGGCAGGCGTGGCAGTTCCTCGACACCACAGGGAGTACGCTGGAAGTGTTCTCCCTGTACGTTTCAGGCTCGCAAAGCCTGGCACGCGTGGCACTTCCTCGAGACCACTGGGGGAGCGCTGGGGGCGTCTCCCTATCCGCTTCGGGCTCGCACAGCGTTGCAGGTTTGCACCACAAAGGGGGGCGCTGGGGGTGGTCTCCCTATCCGCTTCGGGCTTGCAGAGCGTGGCAGGCGTGGATTCCCTCGACACCACAGGGGGTGCGTTGGGTGCCCTGGGTGGTCTCCCTATCCGCTCTGGGCTCGCACCGCGTTGCAGGCTTGGCAGTTCCTCGACACCACAGGAAGTGCGTTGGGGGCGGTCCCCTTATCCGTTTCGGGCTCGCAAAGCATGGCAGGCGTGGCATTCCCTCGACACAACAGGGGGTGCGCTGGGGGTGGTCTCCGTATCCGTCTCGGGCTCGCCAAGCGTGGCAGGCTTGGCACTTCCTCGACACTACAGGGGGTAGTTCCTGAGCGCGGCATCGTCTCTTTGCGCGACGTGAAGGCCCAGCCAGCTGGTGGGGTCAAAGTGGCTGTTAGCCAGTAGCGCCCAAGCCTGTGCCCTTTCTGGATCCCCTCAGGGTACTCAAGCTCCCAAGGCTTGACCGGCGCCGCCAACGATATCGGCGAAGCAACGGCCACCTGCACCATTCTCGCAGGTTTCACGTCATCGGTCACCACGCCAAACATATTGCAAGTGTGTGGGGTTCCTCGGTAGCGCAATTTGTTCGAACTATGTTTCGATATCCCGCCTGTAGAGGGACGTGCCCGACTTTCTGTCAGAGTCAGCCAACATCGAATCGGGGCATCGGCTAGGAGCGGGCCGCACCGGCAGCGGAGCCGAGGGCGAGTCGGATCGGCTGCGCCGGGGTGCGCAGCAACGCCCACATGCCGGCCTCGGGACGCCTCGGATCGCCAGCATGTCGGCCTCGACTCGGAGCGGCCCCGCCGGGGAGGCCGAGATCGACGTCGAATCGGGCCCAGACGGGCTGGCCCCTCGAGAGCCCGCGGGCGGTCCCCCCGGCAGCCGGAGGGCCGCCGGCAGGGCCGCCCTCCCCGCGGGGGCCGCAGTCGGCGGTCTGCCAAGTGGCTCGGCGCCCCCGGCCCGCACAAAATTACCAGCCTCGGCTTTTTCCCTATCCCTAAGATTGACACGCCAAAAGGCGATGACAATCTTAGGGATTCGCCCTCGAAAAATAAGGGAATCCCTAAGATTGGCATCGTGATGAGGAGATGCCCAACATAGATAGGGATATGTTCCAGGCTGGTAACAAGAGGCCCTGCGCGGACGGGACACCACGGCGCACGCGCGGCAGCGGGAGCCGGCCACCCGCCGCCGGGCCCGACGCAGAGGAGGGGTCCGCGAGGCCCTCGTGCGCGCCGCGCCGCCGCGTGAGCCCCGGGCCCGCCCAGCTCCGCGGGGCGGGGCGCGGGGCCGGCAGAGGCCCTGCGGTGTTTTGTTTGTCTTCCTTCCAGACAAGTTCCGATGTCCGTGAGCTCGCGCGGTCCATGTTCAACGGGTCATCTGTGACCGCGTCAAGGGCCACGAGGCTCAGTGGGCAGAAGCCCTGCGGTGTGCAGAGCTGCCCGTGCGGGGCCCGCGCTCGGCCCCATCCCCGGGGCACAGGTGGCGACGCCTGGCTTGCCGCTGCGCCTCCCCCGAGATGCCTCGGCAGGGGCCGCGCCTCTGGCCACGGCGCGCCCCCCTCGCGCTCCGTCTGGCGCTGCACTCGCAGGGCGGTCGATCGCCGCCCTTCTTGCGCGCGCCGAGGCCAGCGGTATCGCTCGTGACCTCCGTCTCCAACGGACCTTCCCCGGGCGCCCCGACCGACGACAGCGCTTCCGGCCAGAGCCCGCCCTTCTCGCACGCGCCGATGCCGGAACTGTCGCTGGCGACAGCCATGACCAACTTTCGGGTCGGGCGAAAGGGGGGGATAGCAAAGGGGGGGTTTGAGAATCAGCTCACGTAGCTGATTTTCCCGGCGCCTCCCGGCGCCGGAGGCGCCCATGTATCGAGGAAGGGGCCCCTCGGTGGGGCCGAAACCAGCTGCATGCAGCAAATTTCGTAACCCCCCCTTTTCCCAATCCCCCCCTTTCGCCCGGCCCGAAACTTCGGTTCCCCCAATCGCCGGAACATTCGCGGCGACACGTCCGACCTCCGCCCGGCCTTCCAAGAACGCGCGGACGACGACGCCGACGCTGCCGGCGATGGCGCTGGGCGCCGGCTGCTTCTCCCACACCTCGTGGAGCAGCGGCAGGACCCCCTATACCGCTGCCCACCTTCATCGAACGCACTTGCCACAGCGCTGAAGCTGACTAGCCTGTGGTGTCGTCGCTACCCAGAAGTTCGGCGATCGCATGGCTGTAGGTGTCTGCGACTGGATCAAGTTTCGCATCCTCTACCTCGCAAGCGAATCACAGTGCCCGCTGCCACTGCCAGCGCTCCTCGCAAGCGCTGATGCCAGCGATGTAGCTTGAGGGGTCGGGCACCAACATCGTCTCTCTCACATCTCACTGAGCAACGCCACAGCCGCCTGCCACTGTTCGCCCTTCTCGCACGCGCTAATGCTGGTGTTGCAGCTGGACGCGTCCAGCTCTTGCTTCGCCTCTCACATCTCGCTCAGCAGCGCCAAAGCCCGCGTCCGCTGATCGCCAACGTCCACTGAACGCCAAAGTCCGCGTCCAAGGGTGTAGCTGATGCCGTCGGGTTCGAGCAACTTCGGCTCCCACAAGTCGCCGATCATCGCAGAAGCCCGCTGCCACTGCTCACCTCTCACGCACGCGCTGATCCCAATGATGTATTTGACTAGGGACACAACGACTGCAAGAACTGCAACGTGGAGTCAGGCCGGAGGTGTTGCCGGAGGTGTTGCCGGAGTACCCGACTTGCAAAGCAACGAGACCACCTCATCCTGCAAATGCCTGACCTTGTCGCCGCACTGGCCCCTAAATGTAATAGATGAGTTAGAACTCCAGCTACGCTTCGCCTACATCTGCGGTGCGACACAGTGCGCGTTGTCATTACCAGCCGTCCCACCGCTGGATCTAGCAAGGAAGCTCATGACGTCTAGACCACAATAGACTTGCAAAACAAGCAGCCTGCAACAACAACAACAACAACAACAACACATGCTCCCAACACCAGTCTTTTCTCGTACATAATCGCGCTCTACTCGACAAAGCAGCGCCCAACCTTCAACAGCAAGTCATCGAGGACTGACGATGCCTTTTGCCACTGCCCGCCCATCTCGCATACATTGGTCACAGTAGCGTACATGTTAGCATTCGTATCCAAACCTGCCTCCTTCGCTTTGCTGAGCAACGACAATACCTGCTGCCACTGCCCGCTGTGCTCACACGCTAGCATCCCAGCGTTGTAGCTGATGGCATCGGGCTCCAGCTGCGCTTCATTTACCTCGCAGAGTAGCGCCAGAGCCCGCTGCCACTGGGCACCCTTCTCGCACGCGCTGATCCCAGCGTTGTAGCTGATGATGTCGGGCTCCAGCCTTGCCTCGCACATCTCGCTGAGCAGTGCCAAAGCCCGCTGCCACTGCCCCCCATTCTCGCACGCGCTGATCCTAGCATTGTAGCTGATGACGTCGGGCTCCAGATTCGCCTCCCGCATCTCGCTCAGCAACGCCAAAGCCTGCTGCCATTGGCCACCTTTCCCCCACGAGCTGATCACAGCGCTGTAAGATATGGCGTCGACCTCAACCTTCGCCTCCAAGATCTCGCTGAATAGCGCCAGAGCCCACCGCCTGTGCAGACTCTTCTCACATGCGCTTATCCCTGCACTGTAGCTGACCTTGTCAGGCTCCAACTTCGCCTCCCGCATCCCGCTGAGCAGCTCCAAAGCCCGCTCCCACTGCTCGCCCTTCTCGCACGCGCTGATCTCAGCGTTGTAGCAGACTAAGGCTGACCCGTGAACTCCGTCTTGGGGCCGTGTGGTGCCGTCTTGGGCGCAGCTCGGACCGTCTTGGGGCCGTCTGTGGCCGTTATTGACCGCTCTTGGGGCTGTCGTAGTTGCCTCTGGGGCCGTCTAGGGCGTCTCTGGAGCCGTCGCGGGGCCGCCGCGGGCCGTTTGGGGGCCCTCCTGGGGTGCTCTGGGGGCGTCTTGGGGAGGGTAGCCGTGATAATTGTACATGCTCCTCGCCGGGGCCGAATGATAATTTCATATGGTGGTGTGGTGACAATGGGGCCGGTGGGCGCGGCCTAAGAGGCCCGCAAGAAGGCGGCGAGACGGCCCAAAAGGTCACCAGGACGGGCCACGAGACTTCTTAAACGGCCCCAGAGGGCCCCACGAAATCCCTAAGTCGGGCCCCAGTGCGAGGACACGAATCGGCCTTTCGAGCGCACCGCCCCAAGACGTCCCCCAAAGGCGCAGAGATGGCTCCCAGAGGGTCCAAGAAGCCCCTCAGACGACGCTGGAAGTTCGACGCTCCCCAAGAGAGAAGGATCCAAGGCCTCTTGGGGGCCGTTTAGGGGCCTCTTTTCGCCCTCCTGGGGGTCTCTCGGGGCCCTTTTGGGCCGTCTTGAGTGCCTCTTGGGCTGTCTTTGGGCGATGTGGGGCCGTCTCGGGCGCCTGTCGGACCATCTTGTGGCAGTCTTGGGTCCATCTTGGGCCGATCTTGGGCACTGTTGGGGCTGTCTCGGGCACTTCTGGAGCCGTTTTGGGTGGGGCGATCTCGGGGCCTGTACAATCGTCTGGGAGACTGTGCAGATGGAAAGGCTTGGCGACGGGGCGATGGGGGCCTGCACAGCCGTCTTGGAGACGGTGCGCTGGGGCCGTCTGGGGCTATTTTGAACTGCTCTTGGGGCTGTCTTGCGTGCGTCTGATGCCGTCTGTGGGGCTTTTTTGGGGCCCTCCTGGGGGCCTCTGAGCGCGTCTTCGGGCGAGCTGGGGGCCTGAGTAGCCGTCTTGGGCGCTGCGAGGAGAAAAAACTAAATATAGTGAACATGTGCGTTTCCCGTCGGGAATGGGACGATTTGGGCCTCTTGGGGCTCTCCTGGAGGCCCTTCTAAGCCATCTTGGGGGCCTCCTGGCCTTGGGGGCTCTGAGGCTGTCCTGGGGCTCCCAGGGGTGCTCTGAAGCTGTCTTGGGTGCGTCTTGGGCCGTCTCGGGTGCCTCTGGAGCCGTTCCGGGGCCGTGTGGGGCCGTTTGGGGGGCCCTCCTGGGGGCCTCTAGGCGCGTCTTGGGGCGAGCTGGGGGCCTGTATAGAAAATATAATGAAAATGTGCGTTTCCCGTCGGGACTGACGATTTTGGCCCCTCCTGGGCCATCTTGGGAGCCTCCTGGTCTGCCTTGGGAGCCCCTGGAGCTGTCTTGGGGCTCCCAAGGGTGCTCTGAGGCCGTCTTGGCGACCCCTGGAGCTTCTCGGAGCCGTTCCGTGGGCTACTATGAACTGCTCTTGGGGCTGTCTTGGGCGCGTCTTGGGCCGTCTGGGGCGCCACTGGAGCCGTCCCGGGGGCGGGCCGTTTGGGGGCCCTCCTGGGGTGCTCTGGGGGCGTCTTGGGGCGAGCTGGGGGCCTGTAAAGCCGTCTTGGACGTGGTGAAGACGAAAAGAGCGAGCATATCAAACATGTACGGTACGTTTTCCGAAGGGAATGGGGCAATTGTGCCTCTTGGGTCCCTCCTGGGGGTCCTCCTGGGCCGCCTTGGGAGCCTCCTGGCCTGCCTTGGAGGCCTCTGGGGCCGACCCAGGGCTCGGTTGGGTCCCTCTTGGTCTGTCCGGGCGCCCTCGTGGGCGTCTCTGAGCCGTCTCGGAGCGGTCCGGGGGCTCGCAGGGCGGCCCGGAAGGCCCGGCCAGTCCTTCGGGACAGAGGACCTTCTGGCATGCAAAGATCGCTGCATTGTAGAAGAGATGATATTGGGCTCCACCTTCGCCTCCCGCATCACGCTGAGCAGAGCCAGAGCCCGCGGCCACTGCTCGCCCTTCTCGCACGCGCTGATCCCAGCGCTGTAGCTGATGACGTTGGGCTCCAGCGTTACCTCGCTCATCTCGCTGAGCAGCATCAAAGCCCGCTGCCACTGCTCGCCTTTCTCGCACGCGCTGGTCACAGCGCTATAGCTGATGACGTTGGGCTGCAGCTCCGCCTGACGCATCTCGCCGAGTAGCGCCAGAGCCCGCTGCCACTGCTCGTCCTTCTCGCACGCGCTGATCCCAGCGTTGTAGCTGATGACGTCGGGCTCCAGCTTTGCCTGCATCTCGCTGAGCAGCGCCAGAGCCTGCTGCCACTCGTCGCCCTTCCCGCACGCGCTGATCCCGGCGTTGTAGCTGATGGCGTCGGGCTCCAGCTTCGTCTCCCGCATCCACCTGAGCAGCACCGTAGCCCGCTGCCACTGCTTGCCCTTCCCGCACGCACTAATCCCAGCGTTGTAGCTGGTGGTGTCGGGCTCAACGCTCGCCTCCCGCATCCCCTGGAGCAGCGCCAGAGCCCGCTGCCACTGCTCGCCCTTCTCGCACGCGCTGACCACAGCGCTGTAGGTGACGACGTCGCGCTCCAGCTGGGACTCCCCAAGCTCGCCGAGCAAGGCGAGCGCCCCCTGCCATTGCCCGCCCTGGTTGCACGCGCAGATCCCCGCGCTGCAACAGATGACGTTGAGCTCCAGCCTCGCCTCCCGCATCTCGCTGAGCAGCGCCAAAGCTTGTTGCCATTGCTCGCCTTTCAGGCACGCGCGGATCCCAGCGCTGCAGCTGGTGGCGTCTCGCTCCAGCTTCGCCTCCCGCATCCCGCCAAGCAGCACCAGAGCCCGCTGCCATTGCTGGCCCTTCTCGCACGCACTGACTCCAGCGTTGTAGCTTATGACGTTGGGCTCCAGCTTCGCCTGCCGCATCCCGCTGAGCAGCTCCAGAGCCCGCTGCCACTGCTCGCCCTTCTCGCACGCGCTGATCCCAGCGTTGTAGCTTATGACGTCGGGCGCCAGCTCCGCCTCCCACATCCCGCTGAGCAGCGCCAGAGCCCGCTGCCACTGCTCGCCCTTCGCGCACGCGCTGATCCCAGCGTTGTAGCTGACGAGGTTTGGCTCCAGACTCGCCTCCCCAATTTCGCTCAGTAGCGTCATAGCCCGCTGCCACTGCTCGCCGTTTCCACACGCGCTGATTCCGGCACTGTAGCTGAATGCATCGGGCTCCAGCTTCGCCTTCCACATCTCGCTGATCAGCGCCAGAGCCAGCTGCCACTGCCAACCCTTCTCGCATGCGCTGATCCCGGCGTTGTAGCAGACTAGTAGCGAACCCGTGGACTTCGTCCACGTCATCTTGGGCCAGTCTTGGCTCGAAAAGGCGGTCTTGGGCCTGGCTTCGCTCGAAATGGCGAGAAGGTGGAAATCTTTCAGAAACCATAGAATAATCAATGATTTCGTTTGCCGCGGCTCGTCTGGAGAGTCTTCGAGCGGTCTTGGGCCGTCTCGGAGGCCATCTTGGACCGCTTCCTTCTCTTCGTCCGCCTTCCGCTCTACCTCCGCCTAGACAGCCTTCGGAGCGTCACAGGCGGCCATGGTGGGTCTGCGGTGTACGTCTCGCCGCTTCTCAATTTTGAAAGCACCTGGGGCCTTGAACAAAAGTCACCCGGAGGGCTCTGGTGACTTGTTTCCGGTTGCCTCTTCGAAGCCTGATGGCGGGCGCTGCCGTCTCCTTGGGAACGAACAGTGGGCCTCTCGGGGTTTCTTTTCGAGCTCCTGGGGGCCTGTTCGGGCCTCGTTGGCTGTCTTGCGGCCTGTCCCGACGTCACCGCTCGCTCTTGGGAGCTGTGCCTGGGAGCGCTCTCTACGCTGCGTCTCGCTCTTGGGAGCCTCGGTGAGAAGAGCTTTGTACTTCACCGATCGCTCTTTTAATGGGCGTCTCTGGGCCTGCTTGGTGGTCCTTGTGGGGGCCTTGTTCGGGCCATTCTGAAGCTTGTTTGGGCTGCTCTGGGAGCGTTTTGGAATGTTTTGGGGCCATTTTGGGCCGTCACGGGGCGTCAGGGAGGCCTTGGACCGTCTTGGAGCTCTCTTAAGGCTGCCTGAGGCCGTCTTGGGAGCCTCTCGGGGCCCCTCGGAGCTCTCTTGGGGCCGTCTTGGGGTTCTGTGAGGCCGTTTCAGGGCTCTCTGGCGTCGATTTGGGGCTCTTGTGGGCCGTCTTGGAGCCCTCTGAGGGGCCGCTGGCGTCTTCTTGGGGCGATATGGGAGGCCTCTTGGCGTGTCCTGGGCGGCTGAGGAGCACACAAGGCGGGCATGCTGAGAATATACGTTTCCCAATCGGAATTGGAAGACATGTGCCTCTTTGGCGTGCGCTCGGGGCCCTCTTGGGGCGTCTTTGCGGCCTCTTGGATCGTCGTGGAGCCCCACCCAGAAGGCTTCGGGCCCTCGTGGGCCGTCTCGGGACCAACTGAGGCCGTCTTGGAGCGCTCTTGGACGGTCTGGGACCATGCTGGAGCGCCTCTGGGAGCGGCCTGAGCGATTCGGCCCCGTGGTGGCGCCTTAAAGGGGCGATTTTGTGCACACGAGGCGTGAACCATTCTCGCACGCGCTTCCACTGGCCATGTAGGAGAGACTAGGGCTGACCTGTGGACTACCGTCCACGATTGCTAATATATTGGGAGGGCGCATGCTGCTGCGTAGTGCTTCAGGGCGAGCTGGGTGCTCGATGTTCCTGTCGGCGCCAAGAGCATCGTTTGCAGCAGCATCGGATATGGCAGCATCGACAGTACCCCGAGAGTTGGGTGGAGCGACGTGACTGGCAAACGACGGCAGCCACTGCGCAGAGGGAGCCGTGGGCAACGAGGATAAGGAAGTCGAGGAAGGGAATGTAACCTGTATAGGAAAACCATACCCCGCGCCTCCTGGAACTCGCGCCGTGCGGGAGTAGTCCCAGAAAAAGCGTTCCGGGGCGTTGGCGGTTCGGTCTGAAAGGTTTTTCGGCCATCCCCTTCCAGCCCAAGATGGCCCCAAGAGGGCCCCAAGAAAGCTCCGAAGGGGCCCCAAGACTGTTCCAGAGGGCCCCAAGAGGGCCCAAGTGAGCCCCCCAGAGCTCCAGACGCGGGGGCAAGTCGGCTAGAGCTCTCATGGGGACCCTCAGCCCCCTTAGGACCCCCTCAGGAGGACCCAAGACTGCCCCAAGAGGGCCCCAAGAGGGGTTGAAAAAGGCCCAACAACTTGTCACGAAAAGGGGCCGTCTTCGTGACAGGTTGTAGGCCCCTCTTGGGGCCCCAAGATGGCCCCAAGAGGGCCCCAATAAAGCTCCAAAGGAGTCCCAAGACGGTTCCAAGAGAGGAGGGATTCCACCTGTGAGTAAAAAACAACACCCCTCACCTCGTGGGACACCTCTTCCTCGGGAGGGCTTGCCACAAATTCGTCCGGTCCCCCCCGCGGCACCCAGGGACGCTGTTTTCTGAGGCTTCTCTCGAACGCCAAGTGTCCCAGGAGGCGTGAGGTACGATGCGAGAGGTGTCCCGAGAGGTATGGTGTGTGTGTGTGTATGTTTTTTCCAATTTGATGGGGCTTCAGTGAAATAGAAAATTTCAAGGCTTCCTGGGAGTCCACCCGGGCCACGGTGGGCCGATTTCGGAAAACTTGGGTGCCGTGCTGGGCCATATGGGGGGGTTGTTCCAGAGGGGGCCTTCTGGGGAGGCTTCTCGCAGGCCTCACGGAGGCAATTCCGAAACCTTTTGGGGGCCGTTTGGGGGCATCTTGGGGCCTCTTTTGGGCCTCTCGGGGGCCTCTTGGGGTCCTCTTGGGGGCGTCTTGGGGCGGAAAACTGGGATCTTGGGTTAGAGGTCCCCCGCTTGGGGCCGTCTTGGGGCCCTCTTGGGCCGTCTTGGGCGCGTCTTGGGCCGTCTTGGCGCCCTCTTGGGCCGTTTTGGGGGCCTCTTGGGAGACTCTTGGGCCGTCTTGGGGCGGTCTCGGGTGCCTCTTGGACCGTCTTCAGCGCCATGAAAGCCGAGAAGCCATATATGCTCAAAATGTACGTTATCCTACAGAAAGTCTATGATTTTGGCCTGTTGGGGCCCTCCTGGGACGCCACTTGGGCGTCTCTTGGGCCGTCATGGAGGCCTCTTGGGCCGTCTTGGGCCCTCTTGGGGCTCCCTGGAAGCCACCGTGGGCTCTCTGGGGGCCCTCGTGGACCGTCCCCACGAGCAGAGCCGCCGAGGTGCCGCCCCCCACGGCCCGGCGAGGGTGCCCCTAATGGCCCTTCTCGCACGCGCAATGCCCGGTATTATAGGTTAGATGGCGTCGGACTCCAGCTTCGCCTCCCGCATCCCGCTCAGCAGCGCCAGAGCCCGCTGCCACTGCACGCCCTTCTCACACGCCGTGATCCCAGCGCTGTAGCTGATGACGTCGAGCTCCAACCTCGCCTGCCACATCTCGCAGAACAGCGCCACAGCCCGCTGCCACTGCCCGCCCTTCTCGCACGCGGTCACCGCAGCGTTGCAACTGACGACGTTCGGTTCAAACTTCGACTCCGCCATCGCCCTGAACAGCGACAATGCGCGCTGCCACTGCCTGCCTTTTCCGCACGCGCTGATCCCAGCGTTGTAGCCGATGACGTCGGGCTCCAACTTCGCCCTCCACATCTCGCCGAGCACGGACAGCGCCTGCTGCCACTGCCCACCTCTGCTGCACGCGGTGGCGGTCGCAGCGTAGTGGCCTGCGAAGAGCTGCACGCCTGCTCGCATGCCTTCGCAGAGCAAGCCAAGTGCTGCGCCCCAGTGACTTGTCCGACCGCATTTCCTGATTGACGCTTCGAGGGAAACATCGCTCTCTCGTGGCCCTGGCCATGTGTACAGCATTCAATGCGATATGGCAGCATGGCATCCTGAGCCCACTATGGTGGAGCTGGAACAGCTCGAGCCAAAATGGCTTCAGCCAGAAAGGCTCGTCACCCTCCTCCTACTCCTCCTCCTCCTCCTCCTCCTCCTCCTCCTCCTCCTCCTCCTCCTCCTCCTCCTCCTCCTCCTGTTCATTCCCCGCCTGATTCTCAACATATGAATAAACGCTCAGCGTGGTTCCAGAGACGAGGGTGCTCCCCTGGGTCAACAAGGGAGTGGGGGAGGGGGTACCCCCCTCCCCCCCCTTTTCTTGGTCCACAGTCCTGGACCCACCCCCTGTTTTCGAAACATTCCCCCGGATCCACCCCTCTGTCCAAAGGGTGGGGAGGGTTGCACCCCCTCCTCTCCTCATTTGGAGCCCAGATGGGATTTCATAAGGTGTCCCACCCGCCCTCCCTTTGGGGAGCCCCCGCTCTACCCCTAAGCACCTCAACACTAACACTCTAACTTTTTTACACCCTACTCCGAACACAAGAACGCTCTACTTGTTTTTACCTCTAAGCACCTCAACACTAACACTCCACTTTGTTTACCCCTAAGCACCTCAACATTAACACTCTACTTTTACACGTCACCCCCCCTTACACAGAACACCAGACATTGCCCCGGAGAAGCGAGAGGGCCGAGGATGGAAAGGCAGAATTTCGCGGGCGAGGATCCTCTGGACGTGGTGCGCACACATTCCAGGGCGCATCGGGCTGGGCCGACAGCCTGGAGAACCGATCCATAACATCTGGGCCGTGCTTGTCACACCGTCGACTGGCCTGGATCAGTCGTCATCGAATCGGGAAGAGAGGGCTGCATCGGCACACGATCGAAGTCGAATCGAACCGGCTGCGGATGCACAACAGCCCATGCGAGCATAGGTCCGCTTCCGATCATCCGAATATCGGAATCGAATCGGGACGAGCCGGCCAGAACCGATCGGATCAATCGGATCCAAACAGGGGGAGGAGCAGCAGCAGCAGCAGCAGCAGCAGCAGCAGGACGAGGAAGAGGAGAGGAGGAGGATGAGGACGAGGAGGAGCAAACGCATCTGTCAGTGCCCTTCCAGCCAGCTGGATCCTGGCCTTCTCCACGACGGCCAGATTTGTCTTCCGCCGAGGCCACATCCAGACATACTCGCCACACGCGCTGCAGCCAACGCCAAATCGTCGCTCACCCCACCCCCGCTCCTGCACCGGACAGCGCGGCCGCAGGCCGGAGCCTCCCTCCCCGACATCGGAGGCTGCAGCGCGCGCAGGCAGCAGGTGCCCTCCTGGCACGAGCGGGGCAACGAGCGGGCCGCCCCCTCTTTCTCCTCCCCCCTCCGCAAAGAGCCCTCGTGCTCCTGGGCTCCCTCCTCCTCTCTCCTCCACCCCGAGGCCTGCGCTCTGGACGCCCGAAATGGGCACGGAAACAATGGGCACAATGCCCAACAGCAAATGTTGTCCCGAACCAACAGCGGCCGCTGTTTGGCAGGCGGCCTTCTGTCTCAAATGGACACCATCCGCGGCGACGCCGACAGCGCATCCTGCTCAAAAGGAACAAGAACTGCTGTTGGTCTTTGTACCCATTCTTTCCGTACCCATGTCGGTCGTCCCGATGCGCAGAGGAGAGCAGATAGGGGAACAAAAAGTCACATAAACATAAAAACTCGGAGGTCCGCGCGAATTTCTCGGATCGGCGTTGAGGCCCCCCGGCGGCGCCTCCGGCGCCGCCCCTGGCGCGCTCCGCGCGCCGATCCGAGAAATCCGCGCGGACCTCCGAGTTTTTAGGTCTGTGTGACTTTTTGCTCCCCCAGCAGAGCCGACGGCAGAGAAACACAAACGGTCCAGTCGACGGCCTGCGGGGACTCTGCTCGGGTCTGGCGCCGTGCCCCCCTTTATGGCGTTCTGCCGCGGGCGCGCTGCGCGCGCCCCGGCGCCGCTCCAGGAGAAACATCCGCGTGGGCCTCCAACAGGTTATGTGTACACGTCGTTCATTTCCAGTCGTGCTCAGTTCTTCCTTGTGCTCGTTTCTACTCGTTCCTGGCCCCCTAGTGGCCAGGGAGAGGCCCAGGATAGAGCAGTTAGAAATGAAAAGATCCTGGCCCCCAAAAAATTGGGAATTTCCGAAGAACTAGAAACGAACAATGTGTATGTCACTGTTCTTCTTCGAGCGCGTTAAGCGGCAGCAGAGGGATGGCGCCTGGATGCAGCACGGGCTTGAAGATACCCGACGCCCGCGACAGCTCCTGCAAGAGCCCCGGAGAAAGCTCGAAGTCGTCGTCGCCTTGCAGGCGCACGTTTGCACCAACGGGTCTCACGACACTGGCCGAATGGCAACAACGAAACAAAATATCCTGGCGAATGACCCAACCATATGCGGTTGTGAGTGCCGCGTTGTGGGTACCGCTTCCAGTGAAGCTCCTTGTGGGGCTACGAAGCGCGTGAATCATGCGCCGCAATGGGTTAGGGGGACGCATGCGGTCGCGGCCACTAGGGTCTTCGGTGGAGCTCCCTATGGGGCCACGAGACGCTGTGCTGGGTGAGGGAGACGCATGCGGCCGCGGCCATACGGGCCGTCGGTGGATATCCCTATGCGGCCACGAAGCGCTGTGCTGCGCGGGGGAGACGCATGCGGTCGCGGCCACTGGGGCCTTCGGTGGAGCTCCCTGAGGGGCCACGAAACGCTGCACTTGGTGGAGGAGACGCATGCGGCCGCGGACACTACGGCCCTCGATGAGGCCACGAAGCGCTGTACTGGATGGGGTCAGCGAATGCGAACGTCGCCTTTGGAGCCTTTGGTGGAGCTCCCTGTGGGGCCACGAAGCGCATGCGAACGCCGCCGCTGGGGCCTTCGGTGGAGCTCCCATTGGGACCCCGAAGCATTGTAGTGTGGGGGGGAGATGCATGCGAACGTCGCCTCTGGGGCCTTCGGTGGAGATCCCTGTGGGGCCGCGAATAGCTTATTGGGTGGGGGAAACGCATGTGCACGTCGCCTCTGTTGCCTTCGGTGGACCTCCCGATGGGGCCACGAAGCGCTGTGCTGGGAGAGGGAGACGCCTGCGAACGTCGTCTTCGGGGTCTTCGGTGGAGCGCCCTATGGGGCCACGAAGCGCTGTACAAGGCGGGGGAGACGCGTGCGAACATCGTCTTTGGGTTCCTCGGATGGGTTCCCTATGGGGCCACGAAGCGCTGTATTGGGGGGGGAGGCGCATGCGAACGTCGCGGCTGGGGCCTTCGATGGAGCTCCCTATGGGGCCACGAAGCGCTGTACTGGGCGGGGGAGACGCGTGCGAACATCGTCTTTGGTTTCCTCGGTTGGGTTCCCTATGGGGCCACGAAGCGCTGTACTGGAGGGGGAGGCGCATGCGGACGTCCTTTCTGGGGTCTTCGGTGGAGCTCCCTATGGGGCCACCACGGAGCGCTGTACTGGGCGGGAAAAACGCATGCGATCGTCGCCGCTGGAGCCTTCGGTACGGCTCCCCATGAAACTATGGAACGCTGTACCGGGCGAGGGAGATGCATGCGAACATCGTTTTTGGGTTCCTCGGTTGGGTTCCCTATGGGGCCACAAAGCGCTGTATTGGTGGGGGGAGGCGCATGCGAACGTCGCGGCTGGGGCCTTCGGTAGAGCTCTCGATGGTGCCACGAAGCGCGTGAGGGGTGTGCCGAACTGGTTGACATGAGGAGGTCCGAGGCAGGGATGGGAGGAGGGAGGAAGGGGATGATGAGGGGATGAGAGGGAGAGGAGTGAAGAGGGGGGCTGTCTCAAAACACAGGATGCGAAGGACCCAACCGTATTCAGTTTCAAGCGCAGTCGTTGTGAGCATCGCCTCGGTGGAGCCCCCTATGGACACCGCAACTGGGGACTTCGGTGGAGCTCCCCTTATGGGGCCACGAATCATATGAGGGGTGTGCCGTGTGAGGGGTGCGCCGGAATCGCTGGGACGACCGCATGTGGAAACCGCCTCTGGGGCCTTCGCTGGAGTTCCATATGGGGCCGCGCCGGAATGAGTGGAGTGGCCTCCTGTGGACACCGCCACTGGGGCCCTCGGTGGAACTCTTCGTGGCGCCACGAAACGTGTGAAGGTTGTGCCGACATGGGTGGGGCGGCCGAATGCGGACACGTCCACTGGGGCCTTCGCAGGAGTTGGCCATGGGGCCGAGAAACGTGTGAGGGGTATGCCGAAATGGGTGGGGCGGCCGCATGCGGACATACCAACTGGGGCCTTCGGTGGAAGTGCGTGGGGCGGCCGCCCATGGGGCCTGTCGGTGGAGCTCTCGTGGGGCCCCGGATCGTGTGGGGGATGTGCCGGCATGAGTGTGGCGGCCGCACGTGGGCACCACCAGTGGGGCCTTCTTCGGTGGAGCTGGCGCCGCGAAGCGTGCGAGGGGGGTGCCGAGATGGGCTGGGTGGCCGCACATGGACATGGCAGCTGGGGCCTTCGGTGCAGCTCCTCATGGGGCCACGAAGCCCGAGCGGGGTGCTGCGAAATGGGTGGGGCAGCCGCCTGTGGGCTGGGGCCTTCGGTGGAGCTCCCCATGGGGCCACGAAACGCGTGAGTGGTGTGCCGACATGGATTGGGGCGGCCGCATGAGGACATGGTATCTACTGCTCCAGTCACAATCGCACATCGGACGTGTTGCGACTGCTTACTTGGCAGTGTTGAACGGCCAAGCCGACGCGCCAAACACGCGCCACACTAACACGCGCCAAACGCGCGCGCGGCTGTGAAAAGGCTCCAAGAGGCCGTCCCCTAGCACTCGAAGACGCCCTCAAGAAGCCCCGCATCAAACGCAAAATAAGAGAAGGCCGAAAAAAACACCAACTAGACGCAAGCAGCACAACGGGAAGTGGCGAAGACGCATACGAAATCAGACAAGCAAATGATCCTCTTCTGGGGCCTGCGAATGGCGTAAATCTCGCGAGTGGGCTTGCGAACGAAACACTGGATTAGGAGATGCGTAAAGATGCGTTCCGCTGCGGGTTATTGC